AATTGCTTCCTCTGTAGCTGCCATACAAACCAGTAAAGGATCAAACATTACTGAGTTAATTATTGTGTTTTAAAAATAAATTTTATTTTTAAAATTTGTATGCACATAGTTGCCCTCAGACGTCAGAAGAAGGCATGGCATGGCATCTACTGGAGCTGGAGATACAGGTGGTCGTGAGGTACCCCATGTAGATGCTGGAAGTGAACTCCGGTCCTCTGCAAGAGCAGTGTGCATGCTAACAGCATGAGAAGTATCAAATATCACAAGTCCATCAATATTTTAAATCTGGCAATGCTACATGTAGACACTATAACACCATAACACCTTTAGCATTTTCAATAAAGATTTAAGAATTGAAATATTAAAAGTGTAAAAGCGTAAGCCAACAGCAAGAGTTTGAGAAGCCAAGAATGTACCTAAAACAGCATGGGTTTTGAAGTCTATACACGGCAATTTTATTCAAGCCATCACATTTACTGATAACCCACCAAATACCTGCCAGGGCTGGGACTTCAAAGACATAAAGTATTCCTCACTCCCATTCAAAGACTCCAGGGTGGTAGACACAGACAGCTGAGCTAGTTACTATTCTCCATGTAAAAGCCAAGGTCCGAGGTAGATAAAACACAGAGAAAAGACTAATTTCCTTGAATAGAAAGGAAAGTCTAGCTCAGGAAAAAAAAAAAAAAAAAAACCAAGGCTGGTGAGAGATCTGAACAAAAAGGAGAAAGGTAATGGGGGACAAACCAGATCAAATGAAACATGAACTGAGCCCACAAATTCCCCAGAACTTGCTGTCTCTAAAGCAGAGGTGACTATTGTAAGCAGCCAGGGCAGGAGTCTCAGCCAAGAATGAGCTGGGTGCCATTCCCACTGACCACACCAAGACCTGTCCAAAAGCAGCCTGTGAGCATTAGGCAAGTTAGTACCTTCAGTCTCCCAGTTCCCACTTGCTTCTAACATTCTTCACAGTATTCCCTGGGTGGTTTCTGAACAATTAACACTGGACTGTGCCATGTTAAGACACCTTCAACAGTCCGTAAGAACTTGAGATCAAACGCAAGCCATGAGGCTGAACCAGGAGATCCAAACAAGCCTACAAAACTCTTCATTTATTCCAAGCTTCCTCTTCATAGGCTCTCAAATCATCCTCACCTGGAGCCACATTCTCGTCTCACCTGTCTCCTTGAAGCCCTAATATACGAGTATGGTGGTTTAAATAAAATGGGCCCCACAGGCCCATAGGGAGTGGTAGTATTAGCAGATGTGGCCTGGTAGGAGTAGATGTGGCCTTGTTAGAGTAGGTGTGACCTTGTTGGATGAAGTATCTCACTGTAGGGGCAGGCTTTGAGGTCATATATGCTCAAGCTATGCCCAGTGTGATACACAGTCTTCTACTGCCTGCAGATCAAGATGTAGAACTCTCAGCTCCTTCTCTAGCACCATGTCTGCCTGCACTCTGTCCTGCTTCCCATTATGGAGTAAATCTCTGAAACTGTAAACCATACCCAATTAAATGTTTTCCTTTATAAGAACTGCAAAGATCATAGTGTCTCTTCATAGCAATAAAACCCTAATTAAGACAATGGGAAACAATCACCTGACCTCAAATTGTCAAACAGCAGCTCTGCACCCATTTCCTTCAGCATGTGCTCTCTATATAACTCCAAACATTCCAGAACTTCAATGGACCAACTCATTTCTTTCTAAACTCACCTTTCAGTAGGGTGGCCTTGGGAACTTTGTGTGTGCTGTTTCTGAATTGTGTTCACCATGTGAACACCGCACTGTGAATACAATGTCAGTAGAAGAAAAGCATCAACAAAATGCAGGGGTTTACATTATATGTTTTCATTTTGGACTCCAGTCTCTACATTGTTAACCGTTTCCTCCTGGACCACCTGCCAGGGAGCTCAAGCTTCTCATGCCTTCACATGCTTTCAGTCTTCCGTGCACACCCTTCCCTGGCTTATGTCTCCCAAAACATCTCTGCATCTTCTCTAACAAATTTCTCAAGCAATAACCTATATCTACATGCCAAATTTTCTCCCTGTTCACTCTTAAACTTCTACATTGTAACTGTCAACCCAGAGCTCCACTGAAGCTGCCCTCTCCAAGGCAGTGCCTTTACAGAATAACTGACGAATAGACTCTTCACTCAGGCGGAAGGGTAGCTGAGTGGTGGAACACTTGCCTATCATGGGAGGCCCTGGGTTCCAGCCCCAACACCAAAAATAGTTAGTGCACTTGACTTCTTTGTGCCATTTAATACTGCTGGTCTCTGACACTCTTGACTTTTTTCTGATCACCACATTTCTCCACCCTCACTGCTCATGTCTCCCCTCTATATCACTTGAAAGTTAGTGCTTTTGGAGAGCTCCTTGAACAAATCTCCCTAAGGAGAACATTCTCTTCACAGTCTATGTGCCTCTATTAGGTGTTGGTCATATACTTACAAGTCCTTCCCATCCAGGAGCTTACGCTCCTCACACCAGAAACCTGCTCGCTCTTCTCTGAACCCCCACCGGTATCCCCAGGCTCAAAGCACAGTGCCTAAGCAACAGTTCAAAAGATCTTTTTAGAGTAAATGATAAATCTATAGCTAAATGTTAATAGAAACTGTTTATACTTTGGAAATATATACACAACGTATGTAACATTACATTAATTCTGCTTTACTTTCAAGAAATGAATTTACTTTAAATATTTAAATAAAACTTTATGATTCATTGTAATTATGTCCACAGTAGCTACTTCACCAAATGTCAAAGTCTGTGAAAAGTCACAAGGTGCTTCTTCTCAAATGAGCCACTGCAACTGCAATAGCAAAGTCTACCTTCAGGTCATATGACAGACATCTTTAGCCTTAAAGAAATTTTTATTATTAGGCTAGTTCTAATCAAGAGGGTAAAGGTGCCTGTCTTAGAGTCACCCCAAACAAGACTCACAGTGAAGAGCTGAAGATGGCAGGGAAGATTACTTCCTATGTTCTAGAACCATAACCATCAGGACAGCACATCTAATCAACAACAAAGTTTCAAGACCTAATTTTGGAAAGAAAGAGAAAAAAAAAAATCAAACCCAATAATTGTGTAGAAGATAACTTCAACAGAGTTAAAGTTTAAAATAAAAACTGGATCTTGACTGAGAAAGATGCTTCTGTTCCTGAGAGAAATCAATCTCAAATCCATCTACAAAGCCGGCTGAGACCAAGGCCAAACATTAATATCCTAAATGCTTTCCACACACATTTCAGCTTTCCACCGTGGAAGCACAGCTCTACAGCTCAGAAATCCACTCATTTCTGTAGCAATCGCTAGATTACTCGGGGTTTACATGGCTCAAGTAATCAAAGATATATGTTCAATGCAATTCTGACTTTGCTTTCGACGTCCATGAAGATAATACTATGCAGATAACAGCAGTTCACAACTGAGGATAAGAGCACTATCATTTTTTGATTAACAACATGAGTCTGCCTCTTTTCTACATCATGAGAAAAAAAAAATGCCTGGGGTTAATGGCAGGCACCTGTGGGCTCAGCTACTTAGGACATGGAACAGGCGTCACTTGAGCCCAAAAGTTTGGTATTTTAGAAACCTCATCTCTTCACAGCAGCAAGTAGTACATGCTGGTAAGGCTGAGGCAGGAGGATAGCCATAAGTGCCAGGCCAGCAGAAAAGAAAGTCCAACACCTTAATTTTTTTATTTAAATAAACAAATTGGGGTTGGGGATGTACTCTTTCATAGCACAAACCAGGGGATTGGGAGGTGGAGGGAAAAGAATCAAAAGTTGAAGGTCACCTCGAAAGTACACGTCAAGTTTGAGACTAGCCTGGGCTACATGAGATCCTATGTAGAAGGGGGAGAAAGGAGGGTAAAGTGATCGAGAGAAGATCAGGGGAGAAATGGAAGGGAAGAAAGAGGGAAAGGAAGAAAAACAAATTATCTCCATTTCAGAGGTACAGATGTAAGAAATTGAAAGAGGCAAAACATGGCACCTTCTAAACTATTCCCCTAACTATTAGAGGTGACTCTAAGCCCCACATGCTTGAAGGTTTGCATAGATGCTTGTCCATAATTGGTAGCACCTGCACAATTTACTTGCTAGAAGGAAATTAAGGCTTATTCATTGCAGTTCCAGTTTTTCTTCCATTTCTGACTCAGACACCAACACAGTCAATGGCAAAAAGAAATTACAATAACCTCTGAAAAGATGTGAAATTGCAGAAATGATGAAAGAGCATTAAGTTAACTCTTTAAAAATGGCTCCTAAAACAGCATGAAGTGAAAGGTTGAGATGAAATGTGCATGTGCTTTTAAAATATCATTTCGCCTAATTTTCTGAGATGGGTAAACTTGATGTAGAAATGAAAGTTTCCATCTGAGGAAAAAGGAAAATAATGTGGATAAAAATCAGTCAGTCAGTATCTAATTTAAATGCCTATCAAAAGAGAACTACATACACCTAAAACACTAAGTTTCATAGCCAGTGGTGGAGGCAGCGTCGGGGTGGCGGCAGTACACACCTTGAATCCAAGTGCTTGGGAAGCTGAGTCAGGCAGATCTGTGTGAGTTTGAGGCCAGCTTGTTCTACAGAGTGAGTCCAGGACAGCCAAAACTACACAGAGAAACCCTGTCTCAGAAAAGAAAAAAAAAAAAAGAGAGAGAGAGAGACATGGTGTTCCTTTTTTGGGGGGAGGATGGGGGGAAGTTTTTATTTCCCTTACATGTAGGATGGTTCACAAACACAACAAAAGGGCTTCGGCACTGTGGGGGAGGAGAGCATCCTGCCACTTAGGGTAAGAGGATCTTGGCCTTAGCCTGAACAGGACAGAATTGTTTCCACTCCCTCCACCCCTCAGCCAGGAAGCCACCTTGGTGACACTGTAATTCTATGTATTGTAAGTGGTGAAGGGAGTGGTCTGGTCCCAAATATTCCAAGGATGTGTAAGCGGTTTGGGGAGGTACAGGGTGGATTAGGCCACAAGATGGGGCAGATTATATCAGAAATTTGTGACTGGTAGGATTCCTGGGCAACCTAGTCCTGGCTTGGTAGGCGGGAAGAGATGGGCGGCGCTTATTGTTTGGCATTGATGATGTCCACAAATTCAGGCTTCAGCGAAGCTCCACCCACGAGGAAGCCGTCCACATCAGGCTGGCTTGCTAGCTCTCTGCAGGTTGCTCCCGTCACAGAACCTCCATAAATGATTCTGGTGCTTTGAGCCATCATCTCACAGACATTGCATTGCAGCCATCCCCGGAGCTTCTCGTGTATTTCCTGGGCCTGCTGAGGTGTTGCCACCTTGCCAGTCCCAATGGCCCACACAGGCTCATAGGCCAGGACGACTTTGCTCCAGTCCTTCACATTGGCTGCGATGGCCTTGGTTTGCTTGAAAACAACGTCCTCTGTGACGCCAGCTTCCCTTTCGTCTAACTTCTCCCCAATGCAGGCGATCACCCCAAGTCCCTCTGTAAGGGCATGGGCCACTTTCTGCCCAATCAGCTCATCTGACTCCCCGAAGATATGCCTTCTCTCTGAGTGCCCCAGTATTACCCATGTGGCTCCTAAGTCTATGATCATGCCAGGGCTGATCTCCCCAGTGAAGGCTCCATTGGGTGCTTTGTAGCAATTCTGTGCAGCCACGGCGATTTGGGGATCTAGGTTCTGCCTGGCGAAGTCAATGTAAGCAGAGGGCGGGGCACAAACCACTTCAATGTCTGCCGGCAACTTGGCCGCATTCAAGGTGCAGATGAGTTCTCCTAGGCATTTCTTCCTTCCGTTCATCTTCCAGTTGCCCCCAACGAAGAACTTCCTACAGGGCGCCATTTCGGGAGGACGCTCTGCCTGAAAGTCAGTTTGAGCCATGGTGTTTATAGCAACAGAACAGTTTCTAAGACACGCAGAAGTTTCTCAAGATTCTTTCTCTCCTGGTGACTGTAACCAATAGCCTCTCACACTACGCTTCCCACAGGAATTCCTCACTCTCCCTTACCTTTTGGCACTAACTTCAGACAGCCCATTCTCCCAACTGTCACGGCACTTCTCTGACATTCCTTTCCCAAGCCCCAGATTTTCTTCCCCTTCTACTATACACTAAAAGACTCAATACTCCTTAAGCTCCACAGGGACTCCTGTCCCCCCAATAGTGCTACACATCCCCACACCTAGATCTGATCTCTTTGCTAAAGAACAAAACAAAACCTTGGATCTTGTTTTTTTCTCTGAAGACACTATTCAACACTCCAAAGAGTTCTACACATTACATGTTCATACAATATAACCTTTTAAGAATTACTTTCTTGTCTACAACATCAGAAAAGAAAAACTGGATAAGGGGCTCAGCAGCAGCGTTTCCTGGAAGGCTTCACACCCAGAATGCTAACAAGTATCCTACAGGTAATCTTAGACCATCTACCTGGCTCTGCTGACTTGGCACACATGGCTTTTTTCCTAACCTGCCTGATCCAGGAAACAAAAAAAAGGATGACTCTCAAAATTATGATGAAATCCATCCAGGAAGTCACTCAAAGGGCTAAAAAGAAACCCAGCAGCCTTTGTGACCTAATTCGAAGCAGCACCTCTTAAACATACCAATCTAGGAACCAACATAGAAGCAGGAAAGTGCTGGCTACTTTATCACCCAATCTTCTTCAGATAATAAGAAAAAGCTAAGAAAGTAGTAGGAGGACCTTCAAACCCTCAAAAAGACCTTCTTAAAATGGCCTTCACAGTCTTTAATAACAGAAGAATAATCAAAACAACAAACGTGAAAAGGAGATCAGGCAAAAGAGCAACTGCTGTCCAGGATAGCCAGATGTCCCACCCCTCCCCCACCCCCCATGTGCAACAAATATCTGCTGGGCCCTCTACAAATACGTTAAGAGAGATACTGAGACAAAAGCTACGCAAACTCTTGTACTCTACTAAGACCTTACCCAAGGGGCAACATGAGGGCCTATCTGAAAGCAGACTGCTCTCAAGCCTGTGGAAGAGGAAGAAGCAACACCACCAACCCTAACTCAGAGTTCCAGTTATGACCCCTTTAGGCTTTTGTAGCCCAGGTAGGGGGATCCACCACACTTTGATACCTAACTAGTTCCTTCCCTAAGCTGCCAAACTTGTACCACATAGCAGACCTGAGATGGGGGAGGGACAATAGGATCAGCTTCCTAAATTAGGGCTTCATGGCTCCTAAACTCAGAGACACCCCACTCCTCTCTAAGCACAGAGAATGTTACCCATCTAAATTCCGCCTTTCTAAATATAAAGGCAAGAAACTTCCTTCCTTCTATAGGTTGCTATGAATCTATTCCAGCTTCCTCCAGTGCCACTGGCTAAAGGCTATTTCATCTGAAATCCATCTCAGGGGATCCCTCAGTTAAACCTGGGATAATTGTTATTTGAAACACTGTCCAGAAGAGGCATACCTTAAAGACACACACAGCTCCCTAAGTAGCCCAACATCAGTGTTAGAAAATTAATATCTTTCCAACTGCTTCCAAGTCCTATAAATTCAACTCTTTTGAGATAATCAGCTATCCCTGTCAACAACATCTTCCCAAGAGGGCCGGTGTAAAATACGAAGTAGTTCAGTATTTGCTCACTAGCGTTCAAAGCATCTCAGAGAGGACCTGCTTTTCAGACTCTATGGAGAACAGCACTTACCCAACTTCACAGCACTTTTTGTTTTTAATTGATATTTTTAATACATGTCAGAACCTGGCCTGCGAGGAAAACACTAAAAGCCCTATATTAGCACCTTTATCACTCACTATATGTTTCTTTCTGCTTAAGCTTTTGCCTTGGTGATTCAAAGTGGACACTGAAATAATCCATGGCGATAGCAACCAAACTGTAAATCAAGTTATCTTTCTAGTTTGAGCATATAATTAGGTTCTCTGTCAGGAATGCGGGCATAGGAGAATCTCATTAAATATTTGCTGACCTGTTCCCCCCTAGTGTTTAAATCTGAAGGCATAATATGCAGTGTTTAGGATGCTAACGTCCAGGAGCACAGGCTATCTCCAGTGGTCATCTGACTTAGCCTTTTTTTTTTTCAACTCTAAACGAATCTAAAAATGATAGTGACTTCATTTTCAACAGCACTGTGCCTCTTACAATTATGAGAGTAAAATGAGCAATATAGCAGAAATAATGAAGAACAGTAAGAAAAATAAGAGGAGGAAATAAATAATAAAAGAACTATTATTTTAAACTCCATATACTATTTGTTTTTTGAAAGCCAAACACCCTCCCACACCCTTTGTCCCAAGCCTTTAGTGCTACTCCTGAAAGAATCGAGGAACAGTAAAAGGTGACAAAATCAAGAGATATTTCAGTTTTTTCAATACCTACAAATATGTTCTCTAAAAATCGAGTTTGTGATAACCAACAGTACATCTACATTATTGGCTTGGCAGTTTTATGTCAACTTGACACAAGCTACAGTCATCTGAAAGGAGACAACCTCCACTAAGAAAATGCCTCCCTAAGATCAAGCTGCAGGCAGGCCTGTAAAGGTAGTTAGTGAATGATAGGGGAGGGCCCAGCCCATTTTCTGTAGTGCAACCATCCCTGGACTGGTGGTCCTGGATTATATAGGGAAGCAAGTCAGTAAGCAACACTCATCCCACAGCCTCTGCACCATCTCCTGCCGCCAGGTTCCTGCCCTCACAGCTTTTGATGCTAAACTGTTACATGGACTGAAATAAGCCCTTTCCTCCCCAAGTTGCTTTGGTCATGGTGTTTCATCACAGCAAAGGTTCCTGCCCTCACATCTTTTGATGATAAACTGTTACATGTGACTGAAATAAGCCCTTTCTTCCCCAAGTTGCTTTGTTCATGTGTTTGTTCATCACAGCAACAGTAACTCTTAAGTAAGAAAATTCATTTACTAAATGTACTGATTTTTCACTTAATCCTTTTAAACCACTTTCTTAAATAGAAAATAGAGAAATGCCACATTCTGTGGTGACCCTGACAGAGCACAACTAAGTGATACCCTTGAGCTACTAGCATCTGTAAGGCTCTCTGCTGCAGAGGAATTTTAATTCGGAACCTGGCTGCTCTGGCAAGAGATCACATCCAATACCTTGTAGGTCTGTGTGATCAGGTTGGAATACAAAGATACCTTTAATCCTGGAGACAGAAGTAAAGCAGATCTGAGTTCGAGGCCTGCCTGTTTTAGAGCAGGTAAAGAAAAGCTTAGGTCCAGTTGTGGTACACGCCTTTAATCCCAAACAATAAAGGTAAAGCTAGTTTGTAGAAAAAAACACCCATGTTTGAAAGTGGTGTTTAATTCAGTGGCAGAAAAAAATGATGAATAGTCAGAATAGGATACATCCAACTCTCATGGGGGGGGGAGGGAGGAGCTACTTAAGGAGAAATGCAGACAGAGGGGGACAGTTTTACCAGGAAGTTTTACAGAGGGAGGTTTGAATGAGAGAACAAGCTAGACACAGGTGAAAACAAAATGAGCCAGAGAAAGAGAACAAGCCAGAAGATTAGAAAAGACTGGTAGAGTTAGTTCGAGGTCAAGCAGAGCAATTCAGCCTCTCCAGATTGAATAAATCAGCCGGGAGAGGAGTTTGGGCCAGAATGGCTGAGTTGAACCAGTCAGCCCAGAGCTCAGTAAGAACAAGGGTGAGCATATTAAGCAGTAAGCTTCTGAGACGACAACTGGAACAGGGGGATGAAGTTACTTTTGCAGTCTGCCTCCAGGTGACCAGCGTGAAAAGTGACGTGTTTGGTCTTCTCGCTTCCCTTTGCAGTTTCACTAGCCACTGCTCCTCAATATGCTGTCAGTGTGCAGGGCCCTGCTTCACCCTGCCCGTCCTGTTCTGAAGGCTGACTTTGCTTGCTCACCTCCAGCTCTCCGTTCCCAACCTGAACCGCCCTCATCCCCAACACCCTGCAGTATATCCTCTCCAGCACAGTGTGTCATCAAACTTGCTGATTTCTGTCAGATCTAAAAGCAGTAGCTGAAAGCAGATACTTAGGTTGAATTAGTTTCTTTTCCTTTTTTTTCTTTCCCTTCTTTTCCTTTTTTTTTTACAATAAATAGGTTGAGCAACTTTTCATAGTGTTTAAGAGCTATTTGCATTTTACTTTCTGTGAACAATCTACCCCAAAGCCTTTGTTGTTTAACTAATTTGTTTATTAACATGAGGTTGTGTAATATAAGCCAGGCTGGCCCAAATTTGCTATGTAGACCAGGCTGTCCTCAAAATCACAAGTGATCCTCCTGCCTCAGCCTCTAGTGTCGTGGAACCACACACAAGGTTATTAAAACCCATCAGTACATCCAAAGTTAGTTCTCAAGGAGAAAGGCTATCACTATCACACTGAGCTATCACTGCATACCCACCCACACAGAGTCTTCCGTCTTGCTCTGGCTCTGGTAGGTTTTGCCCTACAGAAATCCTCAATTTTTACACAACCAAATTCAATGTCTTTTCTGTGATGGTTTCTGCACTATGGGTCATATTTTAAAATACTTTCCCCATTCTGACATTACAAAAGAGTTTGAGTGACTTGTTTGTTTCACACTAAACTTGTGACACATGCAGACTTAATCTTTACATAATTGCGACCTGAATGGTACTTCTTTCCCCAGATGGCAACTCCACCTGGGCCAATCCCAATGATCTGAAATAATCTAAGGTTTTGTTTTTAGACTTTTTGCTCTGATCCTCTGATGCTTAGAATTTCTGGGAAAATGATTTTCAGATAAACTAAGATTAAAAGTAGTTCAGACTGAAAGTGCTACCTTCTAACTTTCTTAAATTGTAAGGACTTATTTTATTTATGAGCTCTATTGGAGATTA